CAGATCAAAAGCTTGAGGATAAGTAAAAGGGCCTCCATCCATCCACGCAGGTTTGAGCACTCAGAAGATACAAAACTATTTTTTATCATTACACCATTCATGTTTTCTGTTACCACATTGCATTTTGAGTACAGGGTATGCACAGTGTAATCACTGTAAGAAAACATGAATTCCTTTATATCATTAAAAAAGATAAACTTAAAAGATAACTTCTTTAAGGTATCTGAAGGGCATGTATTCAGATCCTAATCTTGAATATTTAGACAAGTCAAACCTGTACTGGTTCATCCAGTAAAAAAAAAAAAAGAGCTTTACTATTTAAGGTTCCTTAAACCTAAATGTCATGAAAAGAAAGAAAGGGAAAAATTAGCTTCTTTAATGTTTTTTGAAACACAGAACCCACTCTGAGTTAATTGCTGAGAAAAGTGTAAAATGTTTCCTTTAAATCTGGGCTAAAATATGCTATGTTAAATCCCTGCTCCAAAATAAGCCAGTTTTGAATAGAGAAGTTTGACAACTGAAGATGCTTTAAAGGCTGGCTCTAGGAAAAAAAACTGTATAATTCTTTATTTTTTAATAAGAACTTTTAACTGTTTTAAATCTGAACCTCACAGTGGCACAAAAAAGGAAAAACATGAGACATCTCTAAAAGAGCAAATACTGCTGCTCTACCTAGTATTTTTCATAGTGACAGAATTCTTGGCTTTTAAAATGTGAAGAATTAACAAAATGTAGATGTAATTCTCACAAAAAGTAGATATTATGTGGCTACAAAAGGTTTATTGAATTCACTAAAATGTAATATTTGTGTATTAGACCAAGACAGTCTGAAGTGATGATCCAGTCACGCTAAATTTAATGGTAGATACTGTGTTGCAGTAATTGTGTTTCATCTTTTTGAATGTAATATCTTAAGCTGCAGAGTGTTTGGCTCTTAGGACCCTGGAAACATGTGCTTAAAGGCTAATGACGCAGAACATAAGATTCCAAAAGCAATATCCAAAACTATACAAGTAAAAACAGATGAAGTTAAAGGAGTGGAGAGGAAGAAACAGATAAAATAAGAAAAAGGCAGAACAGAAGAACTCAGTGTGTTAATAAGCAAAGATAGAGGGTGAAAATGAGGCCAAAGTCTTGTTTTAATCATGTGTGGGAGGATGAAAGCGGAAGTCTTTCCTTTTTTCCCCCCTCAGCATGAATATAAAGACTGTATGCACAAGTGTATGAGTTTGTTAAGGTGGGAAATAAAAGAGTTTGATCAATAACATCTAGAGTTGACAAATCCATGAAAATTAACTAAAGGATACCTCTTGGCCAGGCATTATCTTCCACCCTACTGACAATATGGAATTATTTTTCCCATTTCTATGTGTGGGAAATTATTTTGTAAACATTTAAATCAAACTTGAATTCAATTAGATACCTAATTTACTTTATTCATTCATTTTTCTTTACAGGGGGGGTGGAGACCTAGTGGTTAGGGCGTTGTGCTTGGATTCCAGAGTTTCAAGCCCCACTCCCACAGACTGCCACACTGGTTCCCTGAGCAAGACTCTTAACCACACACTGCTACCCGAACACCGCACAATGGCAGCCCACTGGTCCCCAAAGAGATGAGCTAAATCTAGAGAGTGAATTTCGTGGCTTTGTACTTTTGACAGTTTAATGACAATAATGTTGAATTCTATTCTATTCTATTCTACTTTCTTAGTACGGGTCAGGTCCTTTTTTTAAGGTAGAGATCAAAACCCAATTTACATCCGAACCTTATCAGAGTACAGTATGTGTGCCTTACACCCGAAAAACAAGACTGGGAGCATTTATCTGTCATGGATTTATACATTTATCCTGTTTCAGACTTCAGAATGTGCCATCAGGCTTGTTACAAATGAGCCCTCTGAAAATATGCCCTCTAATTTCATCATCAATTCACAGAAGAATTGAGAGGTTATATTAAGCATGTGTGTGGGGGGAGTGTTTGTGGTCAAAGCATTGAGAGGAACAGGCAGACAGATGGGTCACACGGTTATCCCTCTGTGGGTCTGGAACTGGAACAGTTAATTACATCTTAATTAAATATGACCTGTGTGTCCGCCACTCTTCCTCAGCCACTGTCGGCATGTGTCTGTCTGTGTTTGCGTGAATGAGGGAGCCAGCACTGAGAGGTGATGATTGAGTGTAACATGAGTCGGTGTCAAGGGGAGCGTTTCCTAGAATTGTAAACACTTACGTGCATTCATGGTGTCCGTGGTGATCAATCACGTAAATGAAAGGCGTCAGAGGGAATAAACGTAACTGTCCAGTGGGGTAGTTACCTGCTGGGGCTATGAGATTATTGCAGTGACATGTGGTGCAGTCAGATTCCTCTGCATAAAAGCTAAACATTTGTTAGAGTTTATTTTTGCAGTCCTCTCATAATATCACTTTATGACATGCTCTTTGTCAGGTCAGGAACCGTTGGTTAGCATACCAACAGAGATGGAAGGAAAAGAATTTCATAGAAAATCTGGAAACTATATCATGCGTTTAGTTTTGTTTTGGTCAAAACTCTATGTATTTCTTATTTAGTAAAAGAATTTCTATGCTTTAGTAACCTTTTATTCTTGTGTGAAGGTGTGTAATTCTTTCAGGACCTTGCAAACCTTATCTTGTTGCATTTTACATATCAGTTTTCTTTTTAATGGAAAAATCTCTTTAAAGTTGCTTTGAGTTACCCCTCCTCACATCTTTTTGTCATTATTTTCCATAACTCGACTAATAAATAGATTCCAGAGAATACAACTAACCTAGCCAGTCAACAGTGTTTAGCCATGTTTTGATTGATCTCTAAATCCAGTTGGTTTCAGCATTAGTCTGAGATTTGTTACAGGAAATTAGTTAACATCAAGCTTCAAAAGAGCAACAAAAGAATCATGTCATACACAGAAAACTATGTGGAGTAATTTAAGGAGTGTTGGTTATAAAGTAAGTTTCCAATGTCCAAGCATCTCATGAAAAACTGCATTCCATCAAAAAAGAAGAAAGAAACTTAACAAGCACAACTGCAAACCAATCAAGAAACCCATCCAAATAGACTGACAGATTAGAAAAGGAGAGCATAAGTCAGAAGAGCAGCCAGGATACCAATGGTGACCTTGGAGGAGCTGCAAATTAGAACTTTATGGCGAAAATGGTATGGGGTTGGCAGCTGATTACCCGGATCCCCACAAAACACAGTGAAACATGGTGGTGGCAGCATCATGCTGTGAGCTATTGTTCCTTTGAATGCAGAGTCAGGAAAACTGATCAGAATTGAATTGAAGATTCTTGACCTATTAAAGTCAATCACGCAACTACAACCATTCTGAGATATAATGTTTATAAAATAAAACACCCATGGTCCATGTAGGCCACTTAATAAAGACAGGATGAACAGAGTGTTAGATTCTGCAAAACACCTGATACTGAAGCAGAGGCTTTAAACAGCCAGATAGAGGAGTTAAGATAAGGGATTTAGGGGACTGGAAGTATTACTGTTATAGTGTGGTGACATTTAAACAGTCAAATAGAGGTTGCTTCAATGACTTCATCACACTCACATTTAATACCTGTGTGAGATCAAAGCAGATTTACTCAGAATGCTTAGAAAGCTACTGTTTTCAAAGAGGTTGAACTATTTAAAACTTTTGGTCAAAGCTTAGCTTGCTATGTGTTTGTTTTATCACTCAAAATCCTAAGATTATTCTCCAAGTTTTCTTTGTTTTAATACACAAAACGTCAATGTAAAGGGTATTTTGAGGCATCTGTGCTGATAAAGATTAGAGGCACTATAGTTCCCAACAGCAGAGAGTTTGAATAAGCTGGAGCATTTTTACTTACAGACTCTAAGACAATGTCTCTTGACTTTATTATCTGAATCAAATCCACAGTTTATCATACAGATCCACATAAAACAAATATTCTTTCTACCCCTTGAAATATTGACATTGCAATAATTCTGCAGTGTTGTCCGTGTGAGTCTTTATCAGCTGAAGGAGCCTGGAGAGATGAAGAAAAGCTACGTTTTCTAACTTAATTGCAAAAGGAAAGGAGGAAAGCGAAAATCGGCTATTTATAGACAAATGGGTAAAAAATTACAGCCATCTTTCTTCCAGCTGCACAGGACCGATCTGCCTAATTTACTGAGAGACATATTTTCTCATAGTTGAGCATTAATTACTAAACATTGTAGACCATGAATCCAGTAGCCTGATAAACTCTACAAACTGTTTGTTTGCTATAAACTTACAGCACCAAAATATTATTATTGCTATGACATATTGTATGTTTTTCTTGAATGAAGTGGCTTAGTGCTGGTCTTCTGGTTCACTAAAGAAATACATTATTGTTTTTAATACAGATTGACCTCCTTAGAAAAGCATACAAGATAATTCACCCCTACTATGCTTAAAGTGTGCACCTTCAAAAACAACAAACTATGTGAGAAACACAATGGAAAAACAATCAGAGGCAAAGTTGATTTGTTTTCTAGAATGGGAACTTTACAACACAATCTTGTCGTCGTTGTGCACTGCAAGGATGCGAATGTCTGTCTGTCTATATATATATATATATATATATATATATATATATATATATATATATATATATATATATATATATATATATATATATGGAACTATACGATTTTAAAGGATCATTTGCATTAATAAAAGAAAAATGCTCAGAATGAGGCATAAAAAAGATATATATATATATATATATATATATATATATATATATATATATATATATATATATATATATATATATATATATATATATATATAAAGTATATTTTTTTACTGTAGGAATGAAAAAAAAGACAAAATCATCGACAAAAATGGAAGGTACTGCTATTAAAATAAGTAAGATAAACTGCAAGAGTTTTAGATTTATTTAAAATTCCAAGTACTTATTACATTATTTAGTAATGTACTTGGTACATTCATTTTGGACAGAAAACTCAAACTAAATCCTACCATTGTTGGAGCGCATTGCTCTTGCAGTGATGCCGTTCGTCCCAATAGGATGATGAACTCCAGCTCCATCCACCACTCCTGCCTCCCCTGGCTGCTTCAGAAGCTCTGTCAGAGTTCTTGCAAGAAAGACAGGACACATATAGGACAAATTATGTTGGGAATGACAGATCCTTCCCCATTAAAGAATAAAATATAGCTAAGGAAATTACAAGAGAAAATGCTGAAATAAACTAGGACTGCTTCAGCATGGGGATAGATTGTGTCAAGACATGGAGTGGTAATAAAAAATAGAAAAAAAAGTACATTTTTGATTTTGACACATTATGGAACTATACAATTCAAAAGGATCATTTGCATTAATAAAAGAAAAAGAAAAATGCTCAGAATGGGGCATAAAAAAGAAGACGGAAGGAAGAAAAAGAGAAGTCTTTAGTTTTTTGCCAGTAGGGAGTGCCAATCATTTACAGAAAATAAATATATATGTGAAAAAATGTCTCCAGTTCTCTTTTTTTATCCTTTGAACAAAAGCTGATGTCTTTTCCAAACTGGAGCAGGAAAAGGCCTACTGATTTAAATCAATGGAAGAGTTCAGAGCCAGCTGCTGTAAACAAGGACTACAAATACAAATCATTGTATACACTGGGTTGGTTTCACTAACTGAACAGAATAATTATCATTTAATCATCCAGTGAACTGTGTAATCTTGCTTCATGTATGAATCCCTTTGAGAGTTTCTTTGGATTCCCAAAATGTTAGGTCAACTAATATAATGGATGGTCCAGAAAAAAAAAATCTGTGTTAAAAATACCTTATTTATATAATTTCACCCACTTCTGTACACCTTTCTAATTAAAGTCACTTTAATAAATTATTGCTCTCAGGAAAGGGATGTGTAGCAGAATTAGCATTGTTGTTTCTGCATAATCTTAACTTATGAAACTGGAGCTAATTGTTTTGTTTTACAGGAGCTAATTGCTTATCAATTAAAACAAGAATAGAAAAAGGCAGCTTTATTGAGTCATTCTTTTTTAAGAAAGACCCCCCCCCCCAAAAAAAAAAAAAAAAAAGTAAAGCAATCACTCTGTTTCTGTTGACAAGGAAATTATAGCAACGTGCTCAGCAAAACATCTGTGACCTGAGTGCTGCTATCAAGAGGCCCGTGAATATTTCCTCGTCGTTAATCTCACAGTTGAAATCTTTCTCAAAGGCTTTCTAAAATGCATTAGAGCAATTCTCTTTTGATTAGCCTGCTGTGAAATACTTGTGTGTGCTTATTAGAGCGGTAAGCATTAAGACATTAGCCCAGCACAATGTTTAAACCCAACACCGCCGATGGTAAAAGTGCCACCATAGAAAGTGTGACATGTGTATAATGATAAATTTATACGTGGATAAAACAAGATGTTCACAAAAAAATTGTTTTTCTTTTTTTCTTTATCCATCTAAAATTAATTAACACCAAACTTTTCCTATTTAGATCAGGCAGGGTTATCAAAGTAATTAAAATTTGCTACATTTCAAAGTAGGAACCAAGATATTTTTCTACATTCTTCGATTATAGAAACTAAGATATATACATTTTTTATTCCTTTAAAAAAAATAGGTAAAGCCTAGAGGATGACATCGATTTCTAAAGTTCAGACAGTCATAACAAATGGTTTAAATGGAGGCCAACCTGCAGGTGTGATTTAAAGCTGCACCTGAAACACGAGAGCAATTTCAGGATACCTGAAGATGCCATGTTCATCTGTTCAACGATTACATTCAAGTTTAAAGTACAAGAAAATTTCTTCCTTGCCATACCCCTCAAAGTATGACTTCAGGGTCCCCACAGGTCACAGAACACATTTAAAAGAACTTCTGATAAAATATGATTTCTTTTAGACATCTTTCTTGGTCAGATAAAAGTAGAAATGGCTGAAACTGTGAAGTACAGCGGTGCCAGTGTCATGCTGTGGTGGGATTTTTTGCACAGGAGGAGCTGTTGTACTTCAAAAATGAAATCACAGCATTTCAAAGAACATTGAAACATGAAACACAGACCCAACATCTCAGTAAATGGGCCTTCTAAATGACTGAGGGTGTAAACAAACCACCAAATTAGATATGAAGTGGCACCAAGAAACCAAAGTCAGTGTTTTAAAGAGCCCATTACATAGCAGTAGTCTAAATCACTATATGTTTGAATAAGGAAGAGAATCATTTTAAATTGGAAAATATTTCAATAACATGCCCACAATTCCAATGCTTAGATTTTATCGAGTTGACACATTAGTGATTATAATGCATTCCACTATTCAATGAAGAAAAATTGTTTTAATCCTACTGTGAAAATAATTAACTCATATAAGTCTGTCAAGCCCGGAGAAAAATCCTTCATCTTTCTTCGCAGCTTTCTCAGTTGTTGTTTCAGACAGTACTATTTTTCTATTTCTCTACGGCTCTGCAGGCTTTTTTCTTCCTTTAAAAAAAAGGCAAGCACCGCAGTCTCCTGCCGTCAGTCGAAGTAATTTCTGTGCAGAGCTCTGAAGGCTGGAATAAAGATTTTCCTAAAAGGGATTACAGTAATGCAAAAAAAAACAAAAAAAACATGAGGAGATTAAAATAATGCTGTAGTGAAATCTGCAAACTGATCTAGGTTTTGGATAACACTTTATTTGTGTCTTACTATGTGTCTATATGTTTGGGAGAGACTATTAGAAGTTCTTTGCTAGAGGAATAATATGAGATCACAATGAAGATTATACAAACAAAAAAGAAAAGAAAGAAGGAATCAGTTGATGGAAATGGTTGAGAGGCTTTGTTGTCTACAAATCATCGTAGATTAGGGGATGAATCCAACCTATGAAGTTTTCTTTTTTTTGTGTGCTTGAAAATGAATATTTTGTCACCTCTCATATATTTGCTGTTATTGAAATCAAATATATGTCAATTAGGTAACAATTTAAAGGCAGAAGTCCAGAACCAGGTTAATTATTTGGCTCATCATAACTTTTGCCTTGGTTCATGCAATATTTTTGCAGTTAGTGAAAGCAAGGTCTATTTTGACACACCAAAAATTCTCTGTAGTATTGCTTGTCCGATTATCTCCTACCGGCATTGACAAAAATAAAGGTTTGGAGGATCCTCGTTTAAAAGGTATTTCTTTACACCCCTTGACATTCTGCTCACAGTTAAAGATCCATTAGGCAGCCCTTTAGTTGCACAATGACCAGCAGGACTCATTTTTTACTGGGAATTAAAACGGGAGTGCTGATTGAACTCATGGAGCTCAGCAAAATGCCTCTCAGATAAATTAACATCAGAGAAAACGTTTATTGGGAATCACATATCCCATGGGAAGACAAAGCACATTTTAATTATTTTAAAATCCATAATGCATATAACACTACACACAGTGACTCTGCATACAAAAGGGACTGAACTTAAAAATCATTAGACATTTTTTTTCTTAAGTTTAAAGAAATTAAAAACGGCACATTCTGGTCAAGCAATGATGTAACACTGGAATAAACTGTAAACCTTTCAGTAAAACCAAATATGTCCCCAACCTGCAATAACAATATCCTATACATGTAACTTAAATTTGCTCCTTTAACCATTGTCTTTTTTTCTTTGGGTTTTAATTCTGTTTCAATATACAGAAAATGCAGAGCCTCTGGGCTTTTTTCCTGTTATGTTCTTATTCCACTTCTACTTTATATAGGTTACTTCGACTCTAACTTTCTAGTCTTTGTCCTTCATGTTTAAAAGTGCTGTACATGTTGTTCTCTACACTTTATCTCCTCAAAATCATCATCTTCTATGCTTCTTATCACTTTCATCTTAGCAGTTTTGCAAGTCTGACTCATCTTCACGCTTTTGTTATCTCCCCCAATTTTGATTTTATCGTTACAAAAGCCTGTATCTCTTGCTGTCTTAGTTAGTCTATATTATGTTGATTTTCTCTTGTTACTTCAGGTAAAAGTTCATTACGAAATGTAAATCTTTTTATGTCTTTTTCTCTGCTTACAACCATTAACTTTTCTAAGGATCTCATTGTTGTATCCGGTCCATCTATCAAATTTAAACCCACATTCTTGTTCTTCCCTGTCTTAATGCATTTTTATTGCCCTAACTGAGGGCTGTAAGTTACACTATTGCAATATTTGCAGTCTTGATGTGACAAGATGAAAAATAAGATTTTAGAAGCTTCTAAATCTGTTTGTACAGCTTTACCAGCAAAATGATTGGCAGCTATAGTTCTCAATGTTTGCTTCTTTTACAAAGTTTTTTAAACTTCTGTTTAAAAATGGGCATTTTTCAATGAGTAGTTGTAGATGTTAGCTGTAGGGAGAAAGGATCTTCTGCAGTGATCTGTGTTTCACAGAATCTAGAGAAGCCTTTAAAGAAAGAAAATCTGTTATTGTTTTACAGTCCTCTAAAGAGAGTGCTCACTGTTGTCCATATTTGTCTTGATTTTATAAAGAATTATTCTGTGTGAAATTATTTTCAGAGGTCCCAGAGGAGTTACTAGCACAGCTTCTCTATTATCTTGTTGATTTCCATTAAGTCATTAGCTCAGATACTGTTACCCCAGCAGATGATGGCAGAAGAGGTCACACTCCAAAACAGACTTACAGAAAATATGCAGCCTCTTACTGCAAACACCGAAGCTTCTTCTTTAGAAATCACTTTCTGCTCTGTCCCTTCTTGTTGATGGCTTTAAAGGTTGGGTTTGTTGTCCAGGTGAACACCAAAGGATTTATACTCCTCCATCACCTCCACTTCTTCTTGATGTTAATAGGATTCAACATTTTCCATTTTCCTCTGAAATCTACGATCATTTTCATGTTTTCCTCACATTCAGGATCAGATGATTACTTCCACACTATGCCAAAAATTGGTTTACTAGCTTTCTGTACTCAGCTTTTGTCTATCTTTGATGCACCCAATTACTGTAAGGTCATCTGAGTAATTCTGTAGATGACAGGACTCTGTCTTGTACAGGAACTCAGACATGTACAGAGCAAAAAGAATGGTAGGAGTATCATCCCCTGTTGTGCTCCTGTGCTGCTGACAACTAAATTAGACAGTTGACCTTTCAGGTTTACCATGTTTGTCAACATAGTATTTG